ACACTTGAACACTAAATTAACACTTGAACAACAGATTTTTACAACCAAAATCAAACTACAAAACAGTGAGGAAACATAAATAGTGTTTACCTTTATTGAAATTTTTTCCTTAACCAATTTTGGTACTTTTTTTGAGGGTTTCTTCTTCTTTGGTTTTGATGAAGAAGGAGAGACCTTGTGTTTTTTTGCAGATTGAACTATGAGAGAATCATCTACAAAATCGTCATCTACACTCAACTCTTTCCCCTTGTGTTTCAGTTGATTCTCGACTAGTTTATCAACTCCACCAACATCAACATCGTGCAAATGCTTGCTTCTCATTTCCGCACGAATTTGTCTAGGAGATGAAATACCAGTAGTTTGTTCACTTGCATGCGTCGTTTGTGAATTTTTTGGTGGTGATTTTGGTGTTAAAACAACCAAATCAAAGGTTGGAATATCAGCTAATATAGCTTTTGATGATTTTTTTGGGGAGTGTTGGTTTTTTTCATGATTTAGGAATTGAAGACAAAGATGGAAGTGAATTCAAATCGTGGGGGATACTATCAACTGAAGGTAATTAAGTGGAGAAGAAAGTGATGGTAATTGTGGGTGAGAAGAGGTTGTACGAGAATGGAGGAAAAACTGAAGGTAAATCGTGGGGGTTGGGAACTGAAGGTAAATCGTAGGGGGTGTGGGGGGTGGGAGGAGAGAGAAGCGGGTAAACCAAATAACGTGAAAATACAGTCCTAAAATCACGCCTAAAATAAATGAAGGAATAATTATACCCTTAATTTGAATTATGGTATAGAAATGGTAATTTGGTATGCTTAAATGTAATAAATACAAACCTTAAACATTGAGGGTAATAAGGTTTGATATATGGTATAGATAGGTAAAAATCCCATTTGATTAAGCTTCCTTAATAGTAACCTAAAGTTACCAAATACACAAAAGTATTAAGCTATCATGCACTTTCATTTTTAGTTTATGCAATTCGTAATGTCAGGTAGAATGACATGGTCTTGAAAACTGAGTTTTGAAATATGAGTTTTAAAAACTAAGTTGTGATAATTTGCGTCGTCCAATTTGTCTCACGTTCGAACTTATCCCGTTCACTATAAATATAACACGAAATTTTAAATTGTTTCTTTCAGATTCAAATATTCTCATCTCCTTCGAATTGGCGCGTACAAAGCATGGTAGGTTGTACTTTTTGCTCCACTTTTACACGAAATGTACTGGCATCCATTTCCTATTCAACTGGACTTCTCTTGCTGGGGAAACTAATTGACCCGACTACCCTAGTGAAATTCATCCAACTTTTGCGTAGCAGCTACTACAACAACATTGACCATCTTCAATTTGTTCTCCTTTCTATTCCCGAAGCTGACCACGAAAGGTGGATGGAGAACCGTTTAGTGGAGGCACCAATAGTGTATGTGAATCCAATAGGTGGCTGTGGAGAATTTATACCAATCTCTTGAGGCATTAGACTTTAGCAACTTTTTATAGTGTTTTACGATTTTGTTTCACCTTAATTAACAAAATACTTGTGTTAATTGACGCATAAAAATAAAAATTTAGCGGGGTAGAAACATCGTAGTTCAAAATTCGCAATATACTTTGGCAACTTTTTATCGTGTTTTCCGATGTTGTTTCACCTTATATTAACAATATACTTGTGCTAATTGAAGTCTAAAAATAAAAATTCAGAAATCGGAGTAGAAACATTTAATAAGAGTTGCTAAATCTGAGTTCAAATTTGAAAATAATTGACTATGCATATTTGAGTTTTACGTTTTTTTCATTTTTAGGGAGAAAGAAGCATTGTTTTAGGAGAATCAATCGCTTAGACAATCTCTGTAAAGTTTGCAGCAACAGCCTACTAATGATGAGGGTACTACTTTAGCGGAAGTCGTGGATGGCTTATCCGGTGTTATCGACAAAGCTGTTGAATTCATTGGCAAGATAAGACCCATTTTTTATAATTGCAAATGTTGATCCCAAATCCCAACTTGATGTTGCTTTTGGTTGGTCTTATTGGGTCAATAAACTTAACATCTTGTTTGGAGCAATGAGATTACTGCCTTCTCTTTTCAGTGACACCCAAGAATAGTTGGGTAAGTTCACACTTTGGTGGGCTGGCTTTCGAGGTGCAGGCACCATAGTTGGTGCAGAGGTTGGAGGTGCATCAGAGGTTGGAGATGCAGAGGTTGAAGGTGAAGCAGAGGTTGGAGATGCAGATGTTGGTCATGTAGATGCTAATTATTCAGAAGTTGGTGATGCCTTGGCATTAGTTTAAATTGCTTGAATGAGTGCACAATCAATTTAGAATAAATTAAAATGTAATCTAATATGCCAATATAATGTTAAGTTGTTATAAAATAAAAATTGTAAAGTAAAGACAAGTTTAGAGAGAAACTAATATATTATTCAATTTCAAACTGATGTTTATCATGAATTGAAATCTGCTCTATTTATAGAAGAAAGGAAGCAACTGCGAGGCTTTTCTTGAGCTGCTTGTAAGATGTCTGCATGAGCTGCTCGCAACCTGTCTGTTTAATAAGAAGTAGTTGCAAGTCATTTCATTGAGTTGCTTGCAACCTACCTGCATCAGCTGCTTGGAGATAAATTTCAATGGAGTATTAAATGGATGATCTTCTTTAGGAAGATTATCTACATCGGAGTAATAAATGAACATCCATAATAATATTTTCATAACACTCCCCCTTGGATGTTCATTATTAAGTGCATCATTAAAACTTTACTAGGAAAAATTCCGTGGAAAAAAATCCTAGTCAAGGAAAAAGAGTTCACTAATAACATACATTGCAAGCTGCCTCATTCAAAAACTTACCAGGAAAACCTAGTGAAAAAAATTGAGCAAGGGTAAAAGGATACAATGCATACTTTACTCCCCCCGATAAAGACGTTATTTCAAATACCTAAGTTTCTGCATTCCAATCTTGTATATCATCTTCTCGAAGGTTGCAGTTGGCAAAGACTTGCTGAACAATCTGCCTGATTTTTACTTGAACGGACTTGTTGCACATCAATGTCACCATTTTTCTGAAGATCCTGTATGAAGAATAAACTTTGGTGAAATATGTTTCGTTCTATCTCCTTTTATGATCCTCGCTTAAAATATCGCAATATATGTTTAATCTCGGTCCAATGTCTCCGTGTAGGAGGAAGAGCTTTATTTTGCCAGTAAATTAAGAGAAAATGTTATATCAGGTCATGTAGCATTAGTGTCACGAACCAAAATTCCCACCTTCGGGACCGTGATGGCGCCTAACATTTCATTTGCTAGGCAAGCCAATGTTAGAATAATATTAGCCATTTTTAACAATTTTAATTTAATTAATAACTTGGAAACAAATGCGGAAGTAAATTATGAAATAAAGCAATTAATCCTTAATAATAGTGATGTCTAAATACCATCCCAGAACTGGTGTCACAAGTGCACGAACTACTAGAATAATACAAATAAAGGTCTGAATAAAAATAAAGCTGGCTGAAAGAAATACACAACTATGATAAAATGGAAGGGAACTTTAGAACTGCGAATGTCATGCAGCTAAACCTCAAGTCTCCTCTGAATAGCTGAATCCGAGCAAGTCTATTATGCATCTCTAGGATCAACTTCGGTATCTGCACAATAAAGTGCAGTGTGTAGTATCATTACAATCGACCCCATGTATTGGTAAGTATCGAGCCTAACCTCGATAAGTAGTAACGAGGCTAAGGCGGGTCACTTACATTAATAATAATAATAATAATAGAAAGACAGGAATAGAAATAAAATAGTTAACTCATATCAACAATCGAAGCCAACTCGGCAGTCATAAGCAATTATTACTTCGAAAAATTTCCGTTGCGGCATGCAACCCGCTCCCCAAACAATATGTTCATATTCAATTCCATTGCGGCGTGCAACCCGATCCTCCAATATATCCATTTTCATTTGATTCCGTTGTGGCGTCCAACCCGATCCTCCGGCATAATCTTTTCAATCAATTCTGTTGCGGCGTACAATCCGCTTCTCCAATATTTTCATTTCAATCAATTCTACTGCAGCGTGCAATTCGCTCCTCCAATATACTCATTTTCAATTCTATTGTGGCGTGCAAACCGTTCCCCAAACAATATAATTTAACAATTTTTCCAAATGAAATTACTCCAATAAATGCAACAATTAATATGGAATTATATGAAAAATAAGCATACAATAATTATAATTTATTTAGAAAACAAGTAATGACAAGTAGCAATTAATTATAAATTTAGGAAGAAAATATGTAATTTAATATTTGATATGCTAAATGTCAAATAACAATTAAGTCACATAAATCAATTAAGCATGTAGCAATCAAGCATGGATTCAAGGCATAATATTGAGCAAGGAATATGAAAGAGATATTTAATATAAAAATTAATTCATGATTTAAACCAATTTATGATTTTTAGAAAAATTATACAAACAATTAATTTGATGACGTATAGGCACTCGTCACCTTGCCGATATGTTATACACATTGAATTCACATAACAAATAATTCAAGGATTCTATTCCCTCAAGTCAAAGTTAAACACGACACTTACCTTGTTTCACAATTTCAAGTGATTACTCGATCACAGCTTTTCCTTTTGAATTTGTCTCCAAACCAATCAAATTATTGACCAACAATTTACACTACAAGAAAAAGGCTTATCTGCGACCAACAATTAGGGACGAGTTAATAATCCCGTCTCTAAAAGTATATGTATTGGGACGAAATTATATTGTGGTCCTTAATTCTGTATTTTATTGCGAAGCTACTAAATCCGGTCTCTAAAAAAATTAGTAACTGATCCCAAATTCTAATTGAGGGCCATGAGCGGGAGAGAATGGCGCCAAATATAATATTGAAATGTTAAAAAAATTTATTTTCTAAAAAATAGATACCAAAACTAATATACTAAAATTAAAAAATTAAAAAACTAAAGAGACTCTGTTTTTCCAAAACACAACTCATCGATTTGCCCTAGTCTCCACAATAACGCACGCCTCTCTACCTCCCTCTATCCATCTCTCAAAATTTGTATTTTCTCAAAGCAAAGGTTACAAATTTGTTGATTTGCGAATCGCAGGTCTACCCTAGTTTTCAACCTCGCTCGTTTGCGAATCTCAGGTATACCTCTTTTCTGAGTTGCTCTTTTTCATAATTTCATTCTGAGTTTTTCTTCTCCTTGATAAATAACAAAATACTGAAACTATCAGGTTTATTCACCCCCATCAGCTGTTGGGACAAACTTAGACATGATCACAAATAAGAATCTTGCCGTGTAGGAAACTTTTGAATTTGACTTAGCTTCACCTATATGCGAATTATAGCATGGATTACATTAGCACCTACAGAGAATTAAATCGAACAAAAAATTGGCATTGTCAAACAAGAATACCGTTTTAGCAACTGGGCCTAAGAAAGCTTCCGTGGAAATATTGATAATATGACATTGAATATCCTCTCGAATTCCACCTACTCGATATCCTAATCGCCGAAGAAGCTAGGTAGATGACAAAAGATGCAATATACATGTGTAGGTCAATTAATCAATGGAAAAATTATTAGGTTGGGATTCCTTATTTGATAATTTTATTTCTCTAAAGTTTATTCATGTATGTCGTGTATTGTGTCTCTTAAGAATTATGTGTCTGGTGAATTAGTTAATTCATATTTGTAGCGTATTTTTTGAAAAAGCTAATTATTTCTTGAATGGCTAAAAGTTCACCAGCTGCTTGTAAATTTTACTTCCTCATCTTAGTTAGCTAAAAGTTTAACGTTAAGTTCTGTTTGGAAGCTGATATGTTCAATGATGTTATTTGTATTTGTGGATAGTTCTCAAAAAAGGGAACAACTGTATATCAATAATTGTCTATCTTTGCTGCATATGTTGAAGTATTCAAGAATGAGATTCATAAATTTGCAAACTTTTGAGCAAATATATTTACTGAGTAATGGTGTGTATTCCATGGTAGTGGAAGAGCGATGCTGAAATATATATGAGTGCCTAATTATTAGCTCTCCACTGTCGTAGTTCCAATTCTTACCTTCTAGCTTTTGCTTGATATGTGTTTGTGATAATGAAATTTGTTGAATCCATTGCAATCAAATCAGCTGTGAATTGGCAAGAGAAGTGGTATTTTGGATCGAGTTCCTTCAATTTGATGTCAGAGTCTTCATATTTTGTCTTTTCCGAAGCATGAGCAATAGTTCAGAGAAAGGGACAAGAACGTAGACAAGGACTTAGATCTTTGGTTGAAAAAGAGAATATGCCAATTAAAAGTTTATTTCCTATGCAACACTTCCAAACAGTTGAAACAAGTATGGAATTTTGTATCCATGTGTTATTAATTTGTTGAACTAAATTTTGTTGCTATACTTTTTACCAAATTATACAATTATAGGTTCATCTAATCCTGCAAAGGTAAAAGGAGTTCGACGTAGGAACAAGTGCAAAGAAGTTGCATCACTTGAAGTCGGACAAAAGCTGAAAGTAACCTTTTACAACAATCGAACGGTTGGAATAAAGAGCAAATTGTTTTCGAGACACTTGGGCAGAATAGTTCATGACTGCAATATGTGTCCTTTGGGAGTATCATCGTGGAATGATATTAAGCAAGAAAAGTTGAATCATATGCGGGCAGCTATTGAGGTAACAAATGTAGTTAAGAATACACCTGTGCATTTTGAGTCACACATATAATGGTGTTATATGCATTGTTGCGAGGAAGAATATAGGTGTAGTTAGGTGTTATTGCAAACTTTTTATTCATAGAGTGTATTTTTCTTATTAGAACATGTTCAATATTTTTGCATTCTGTGTCTGATTCTTAATATAGTGGTTCTTTTGGGTTTCTAATAGTTTTCTATTTGTGTAATTGCGTGAGTGTGATGATAATGGAAAGTATATTATAGTGAAATGTGGCTATGTTGTCATAGATGTCAAATTGCTAATTTAGCTGATTAGTTATATTTGTTACAGGTATTTAGTTATATCAGTAAATTATATGTGTGAGTCTAACTGTTCTTTCACACATGAAACTGCTACTGCATATTTGCCATTCTGTCCTCTTTAAAATGTTCTTTGTCAGTACTGCTTTTCTTTAACCTAGGCAGCTGAAGCATGCAACTTTATATGTATCACAAGTTTTTGAGATTCTTTCCATGGCCGAGGCCAGAGAGGTTTCCAAATTTTTGTGCTGATACAAGTGAGTTGTAAGCTGATCTTAGCTAAAATTGTTCAATATTCTCCCGTGACCAAATAATTTTATCTACACCTGGATCCTAGAAAATAAACAGTGATGGGTTTCCTGTCTCCTACATTTTGTGTGGAAAGGTTCTCTGATTGTATTCTTGCCTTTTTACTGATACCGTTAAATAAGAAGAACTCTCACTCTTTAACTGTTTAACATGTGAGAGGTCAAGTTCCATATCTTGCTATCCTGGACTCAACAAAATAAGGACTTTGATGAACAAAAGATGTTCAATAGTGTCTATTGATGTATTAAATACCTTTTATTCTTTTACTACTTCCTGTTACATTTGATTTAACCTTTCTAAGTACTTGAAAATTTCTTCTTCTCCTTTTTGGAGTGTATTTTGGAGTTTAGCTATTATCGGTGCTTCTTCTTAGATAATCAAAAGGTTTGCTCATTTTCGAATTTTGAAAAGGCTCAAAGGCCTTGGTTAGGTAAAGAATTTTATCTCATCCTTTACTTACTACATGTCATGACCCGGATTTCCCACCATCGGGTGTCGTGATGGCGCCTACTATCGGAGCTAGGCAAGCCAAATATTTAAAACACCTTTCCTGCTTTCTTTCAACCAATATGATAAACGAGACAAAAATTTAAGCGGAAGACTTTAAATCTAAAGCAACTGAAAACCAAAAGTGCGGGAGTTAATACACATCACTACCCAATGTCCGGTGTCACTAGCTCACGGACTACTACAGAATACTACAAACAATGTCTGAAAGGAAATACATCATTGCCTGATACAAGATGAACAAATGAAAAATATGGAAAGGGACTTCGACCTGCGAATGCCAGCTAGGCTACCTCGAGAGTCCCTGGACTGAAGATAGCTCCTTGAAGTCCTACTGTTGTGGCCCGTAAGCTGCTCCCTGATCTGTGCACAAAAATGCACAGAGTGTAGCATCAACACAACCGACCCCATGTGCTGGTAAGTGC